CTACTGCTTGGACTTGGCTGAACACAAAGCGCAGCGGAGTGGGGAGGGAAGTGGAAGCAGCCGCTCGCCAACCGGAAGGTCGACCCGGGGCCGCCAGGGGGACGACTCCTCCCTGATGTCAGTCTGGCTTACTGTCGGATACGCTTTGACCCGGACGGCTGGGGCCGTTGACGGCCCCCTGCTTGCGGATGACATGCCTGACTGGTACCTCGACCTGGCGGCTGATGCTATGCAACTTGTGAGGCGCGGGGCTGACTACAGCGACATGATCACCCAGCTGAGGGGAGGGCTCGCCGGGACCTTCTCGCAAGAGGCCCAGGATGGAGTTTCGCCTTACGTACAGGGCCTGGCACGGGACCTGAGTGACGAGGGCGACATGTACTGGGATCCGCAGGAGGAGGAACAACAGCTGCGAGAGGCAGCTCAACAGTGGGTCGTTCAGGCCCTGAACGAGCTGCGTACCTTTTGGGGCGATCGGCAGCGCACAGGCCGCCAGCGCAGAGACGACAGATCCAGAAGCCGAACACGCCAGGGAGACTGTGAGGAGGGAGAGGACGCTGCGGCCTTCATGGAGACGAGGAGGGAGCGCAGTCGTGCTAGAGATGACTCCCGGCCGCCCACAAGAGCGAGAGCAGATGACCGAGGGCGAGGAGAAAGGCTCTCGGGGGTTAACCCCAGATGGCTTCATCGAGGTCGTGACCGTGACCCAGGGACACGTCATGGTACTGCCACGGAACGCCCAGAGCCGGCCAGAAGATCGCGCACCTGTGTTACCGAGGAAGTGCGGAGGCTGGTGCCAAGGGCTGGGGGCGGAACACACGCCAGCGAGGCTGCGGCATCGAGTGCGCCTTCGAATACCTCCTCTAGACCGATGCCGCCGGAGCGACTGGAAGAGGCGCAAGGAGTTGATGCATGGCGGTTTCTGCTGGGCATTGACGTGGAGAACTTCGAGGCTGGGCATGATGTGGTTGCGGCGGGACGCCCGCTGCTACCGGACTTCTCGAGCGCCATGATTCGTGAAACGGTGGCGCAGTACGATGCGCACGACCGGGCGGTGATGACGGTGGCGTTCATGCGGTTCCTCAGAATGCTGATGGCTGAAGTCATGGTTGCCTTCGAACGAGGCTTGCAAGTCGGGGCTGCGAGTGATCGCAACGAAGTCCTGGTGGATGTTCTGCTGGAGGATGAGGCCAGTGGAGATGAGACTGGCCTCATGCAGCTCGGCAAGCCGGTACAGACTGAGGACGCTGACGAGGTCAACCTGATGCAGAGGGAGATGGCGAACCGAGCGGAGAGATGGAGTCGAGCCTTGATTCGTCTGCAGAAGGAGTTGATATCTCAGACGCCGGCCAAGCAGCGCAGTCACGTGCACCAGTTGCGCGCCAGGCTGTTCAACAGAGTGGACGTCAACAACTGGAGCGAAGAGGAGGACCAGCTTTTCGCACTCCTCACTGCCATGGACCTGGAGCGGCCGGTGCACCCCGTCGAGCAGGACGAAGAGTGGCTACAAGCCTGGGGGCAGGAGCTCGAGGCGTTCCTCCCGGGCATGGCGACGGCCATCCACATGGGGCCAGGCCCTATCTCGGTCGAAGGTCACCGGGGACTGACGGAGGAGGAGATTAACGCCATGGCTAGGGATGAAGAGGAAGTCCGAAGGGAAGCCGAGATGGAGGCGAGAGCCAGGCAGAAGGAGCGAGAGATGATCGAGGACGAGGAGATCCGCATGCTACAACGCCAGGCGGCCCTGTTCCAAGCCTGGGAAGACTGGGGGCTGCATGAGGAGTCCATGCGGGCGAGCCAACGAAGCCGGACGGTGCACACCAAACGCCGGTGTGTCGTCGATCTGGAAGTGCAGGGAGAAGAGGCTACTGGCTCCCAAGACAGACCTCGCACATGGCGCAGGGTCATGACGGTGCCGGAGCAGGGAGCCCTTACCCTGAAACTTCGGGCTGTGATGGTGGACGAAGTCTCCGAGAGCGACATGGCAACGGTCATCGTGGACCCGCCGGCTGTGGATGATGGACGGGAGCCGCGTCAGTCAGCGGACGAGCCCCAGGAGGGGCCGCATGTGGTGGACAACCGCGGAACGGAAGGCCAGGAGCACATGGATATGGACTATGCGCAGTTCTCGCGCCTCTATGGGCAGTGGGAGATGGGCCAGCTGTCGAGCGAGGCGGTCAGGTTGCAGTACGGCCCGGACGTTTTGGAGTTGATGGAGGCCCAGTACGCAGCTGTGCGGGACCCTGGTGGTGACACAATGGACAACCTGGGGGTGACAGTGCTCCGGGACGAAGCAACACGCCGTGAAGATGATGTTGGTGGAGGGTCGCGTGGGACCCAGATGAATCCGGATGTGGACGGTGGCCTGTGAGGGTGGAACAAGGCAAGGGTGTACGTGAAGCCTGTGAGTAGCCGCGGCGCCTCTTCAAATCTTGAAGTTTCGGACTCCATTAGGCGGACGGAAAAAGGCGTTCAAAAAAAAAAAAAACCCTAAACCTTGTGACCCTGATAGCACCCTAGAGCCCACCCACAGGGCTGAACTCATCCGGTTAGGCCAAGTTCGCCGCCCCGCGTCGGTCCCGTCTCCTGGACTGGGGCATCCTGGTCGGGCAAACTGATGGGTTTAGGGTTTAGGGGTTCAGGGTTTAGGGTTTTGGGGTGTAGGGTTTAGGGTTTAGGATACAGGCACTTCAGAGAGACCTCGTTCAAAAAAAAGGATACAGGGTTTATACGCAGGTAGGGTCCATGTTGGACATAAGTCCCCAGGCTTGAAACCCCACTCTGGCACCTCTCAACGGACCGAGAAGGAGTCGTCCCTTGCAGGAGCGAAGGGGCATCAGAGCTTGAAAAACGAGCAACAGCGATAATTCTAAAGCAGGACACAGAGGGGTTAGAAGAATCCACGCCAAGAGTCATCACAAAGGCATCTGGAAAAGCGAAGCCATGCAGAGCGACGACTGCAATACGAATGAAAAATCGGCATGGTCATAGCAAGAGCATCAGCAAGTCGAAAAAGCGAAGTCGAGTGCCAGAATCATTGCAACGAAGCAGGGCGTTCAAGAGACGGTTCACGTAAGCAGCAGTGCAGCCGATAACACAAGATCCCATACCTGAAACCCCAAAGCCTTGAATCCCATCTCACATGATCGTGACCGGGTGCCTGCCCAAGGCTTCTCAGCACTGCTGACACTCAGCGTTGGAGCGACCTGGCTTTCCACGGAGGGTGCCGTCTGAGGGACCAGGTTCTTGGTCATCCAGTGCCAAACTTTGATCCAATCCCTTATAGTAACCTCCCAGAACCCTTAAAAGAGATCCTAAACCTAAACCGCCTAAACCCTTAGAGTAACCTCTCGAACCCTTAAAAGAGACCCTAAACCCTAAACCCTAGACCGTCTTAAAGAGACCCTAAGCCCTAAACCCTAAACCGTGTTAAAGAGACCCTTAAAGCAGCCTTTTTTTTAATCAGGGCTGTCCTAGTCTTTACTCTCAGACGAAGCCTTGGAAGCTCCGAGGTTGCAACAGAGAGGAGGCCGCAAGCACGAAAGCCTGAAGCTAAAGGCCTAAAGGGTTTAGGGCTTACGGAAAAGAAGTTGTGAACAAGGGGAAAAATGGATTTAGGGTTTAGGGGAAAAAGGGTTGAGGGTCTAGGGTTTAGGGAAACAAGGTTTAGGGTTTGGGGTGCCAGGAGGGAAAACAAGGCCTAAAGGGATCTTAAGCCCTAGCCCAAAGTCCAAAAGTAATCTTTAATCCCGAAGTTATCAACCCGAGGGTTCGAAGCTTAAAGGCTTAAAGCTTAGATCTTCAACTCTAGCTACAAAGCCAGAGCTGGAACACCCCAAATCCCAGATCCGAAGGGTTACAACAAGCTCTACTTCCTGGCCTAAGTCCTGAATCCTAAACTCCACGGAAACCCTAAACCCTAACACTTATCGCCATGCCTGCATTTGCGAGTGTGTGAGTCAAAACTCTAAAGCCCTAAAGCCTAAAGCCCTAAGCCCTGAATGAGGGATGTTCGCGCCGAGGTCATCTACACTGGGAGCTTCTGGCTGGCATTTGTCTCGGTGGAGCTAGGACCCTCCCATCTTCTGAGGGTTTAGGGTTTAAGGTTTAGGGGTTTAGGGTTTTAGGGTTTAGGGATTAGGGTTTAGGGTTTAAGGGTTTAGGGTTTAGGGATCTGTTTGAGTCGTTTTAATGCATTCTTTTTTCTTTCCCGAGGGGGGTTCAGTTGTTTGACACCAAGATGTCTGGTCTTTGTTTGGCCACCGAAGTGTGCAGAGAGCCAACAAGAAGTTATAGGAAGCTGGATGGGTTCTGTGGCAACAGGTCTGAAAAGAAACATGTCCTACAATTCTGGAGGGACTAAAAAGCTCCTCTCCCTTCGCCCCGCTGCCCTTCCTACATGCCCCGAGCCAAAAGCCCCGAGCCCGATAAACTCAGAGATCAATCTCACCAGGACTCGGCCCCTCAGTGTTCTTCTGCGTCTCCGCCTGCTTCTGCCTCCTCATCGCCTGCGCATGCTGCCGGAGACGCTGATCGAGGGCGTGGGTGAGGGCTGCAAGTTGAAAAGGGCCTGAGGTCAAAGGACAAGCTCTCTGGCCAAGCCAACGAGGACTTCGAGCTTAGGGCTAATCGCGTTGGCGCGCTGGCCTCACCCAGCATTTTTTGTTTTGGGATCAGTTTCAGAAGCCTCTGTCGACCAGGTTTAGGGTGTAGAGTAGGCTTAAGTACTTAGCACTTGCGGGCATTCATTGAGTATCCCCGGCCGAAACAAGTGAGCACGCCTTGAACCACGAGTTCTCCATGTAAACCACCAAGACACCAAGACCACACTTGCGATGGTTGCAAAACTAGGTTCCCCAGTAGTACCCTTTTGCCCTTTTTCTTTTTGGGTTCCCTTATTCAAACCAAATAGTAGGAAAAAGGGTACCCTTATTATGAGGGGGCTATTGGGGAACCTAGAAAACCAAGACGTGCAGACATGAACATGAGTTCAGCAGCAGGTACTTTGCTTATGCCAGTGGTATCACCACCACTTTCCAGCGTACTTTCCCCCTCCAAAGCCATCGAGGCAGCTATAGACTGCCAATGCGTGGCGAGAAGTCTTTTCTCCTCCAGAGACGAGGGAGCTACTGCCGAATATATAGCTGCCTCAACACGTAGTAATAGTGTAAAATAATGTAGACTTATGATGGTCCCTGGAGAAGTACGGCAAAATAGACCCTTAAACCAGTTTGGTGTTTAATTAGGCTCATTGCCAATTTGGGATGGTCGCGAAATTTGAATAGGCTTCCCACTTCCATCTGGAAGCTATTTTTCAGCGCTGGCACACTCTTGACCACAATGCTCCTGGTTCACACATTTTAGAGTTTCGGGTACGGTTCAGTCCAGGTTTTTGAAACTGATCCGTGACGATGAGCCCCAAATTTCGGCGCCCCACTGCGGCGCGCGGCAGAGTGCTCTCGTGTTTGCCGAGCTCGGCATGAACCCCAGCAGCCCGAAACCAACAACAGCCGACCTTCCCGCTGGGAAGCTGGGAAAAGACCCTAGCCCTACTCTCTTCAGAACCCCCGGACCCTGCCAGCTTGAGAGAAGTTTCATACACCGGAATCTGGAGTCAGTCGTTTGGCCTTGGATGTGGGGCCATGAACCATAATCGGCCCTATTATGGCGTCCAAAGTGGAAAAGCCGTAGACCTCCGCCCCAAGCAAGGGGACCAGGCTAACGGACTACTGACTCACACTTCGTCGAACATGCTTACTTGGCCCAATGTGGCAGCGGCTTCTCATCGCAGAAACGGCGTGCTTGCAGCAGAAAGTTGACTGGACGAATCAGGGTTTCGGGGGGGATTGTTCAGGGGTGTAGGATTTAGGGGTAGGCTTCCGGGATGGTTTCTGAGTGCTGGTGCTGTCCGGGAGTAGACGCTTCTCCCCGAATCGAAGCAACCTCAACCACCCTAGTCGAATCTAAGTTTGCATGAACCCTACATCCGCCCCAAAACCCTTGCATAGCCTTCTGCACGCGTGTAGGTTAAAGTAGTGTCGAAGATATATTGGGAGTTTGAGCCTTTTTCACCCACAGACATCGGCGTCTTCAACCAGACCTTGACCCGTAAAGCGTACCGTAAACGCTTCAATGCGATCTAACCCGAAAAACCCAACCCCCCCCAAACCCTAAACCTTACACTGTTCCACAAACCGAGAAGTGTACTAAAAACCTTAGACCCTGCACCGTAACCGCCGTAAACCCTTCAGCCGTACCCTGTAGAACTGTTCCAGGAACCCCTTAAGCTCACAACTCTCCCTGTACGTGTGCGAAGTCTTCCGGCCCACTCATTGCATGGCCAGCTCCGGCCCATCACAAGCCTGGAGCGTGCTGGGTTCGAACAGAGGAAACCGAGCTTTCGCCCCAATTTCGGAATTTTCTTTCTGTTTCGTAACAGGTTTAGGGTTTAGGGGAGTTTCTCCCTCTGATGTCAAAATCTTCGTCAACTTGGGGGGTAAGATGGGGCTCTGGGCTCAAGGCTCACATCATCCCTAAACCCCCAACTCCCTAAACCCCTAAACCCCAAACCTTAACCTTAAGCCCTAAACCCTTAAACCCCTAACCCCTAAACCCCTAAACCCCTAAACCAGAAAACCCTAAACCCTAAACCCTAAACCCCTAAACCCTAAACCCCTAAACCCCTAACCCCTAAACCCTCAGGTGCGCTATCCCCATCCTCATTTACGGCTTGG